TACCTCGATGACACAGATCTGGGGCTCTTCCTTGTTCCCATCCACGGGCACCACAGCTTGCTGCATCACCCACTCCTGGACAGCGTCGGTGATGTGAGGGATCACTGCGGGAAGAGCAAGACAGACATGCAGGAGACAGTCTCTAGAACACCCACCCCACCGAACAGCCACTAAGCAAAGCCGGCAGGCACTGGGAAGCCGTGCCGGGAGGGTAGCTCACCCCCTTCCCTGGATGAGCAACCACCACCATGGGCAACAAAATGGAGCAGGTCCATCTTTGACGACACCAGAAAACCCCGATCATGCCACAAGAATTTGTAAGGAAGGCCGCATGCTGAGTGCAGGGCTCCCCGGCGGAAGAAGCAGGCCATGCAGGCCATGGTCCCTGCAGGCAGGACATCGAGACCAAGCCCACCTAATGGAGAAGGGTGGGCCTTACATGCAGCCCATGAGCTCCTGGCTCCAGAAGAGACCAAAAGGTGACCTTCTCACAGGCCCCGAGGGACTCAGCACAGAGCTCCCAGCTTGACACCCAAAGGACAAAGGTTGGGCCCCAAGAAAGAGGCCAAAGAGCATCTGTCACCAGCTCCACCCTCCACCTGCTACTCCCTTATGGCAGAAGAAAGTCACTCCCACAGGTGAAGTTGCAAAGAGCCACTGTGTGAGCCCAAGGGAGTGGGGGCTGCCAGGCTGTCCTCCACCTGGGGCGGGGGGCGGAGGGGGGCCTCCTCTCATCATTGAGATGTGGCAGTTATGAGGCAGTAATTGTCCCTCCGCTGGATTTTCCCAAGACCTAAACTTAGGAGGAAACTGTAAGAAAGCCCAACATGACCTATCAGCAGATCTCAGTCAGCCAGCCTGCTGTGCCGTCTTTGACGTGATCTACTTGCCAGCTGGTTCCAACTCCCCATAGATTGAAAGGGGGGGGGGGGCTGGGGGATTATCTCTCTTGCCCCACCAACCTTTTGTGAGGGTGGGCCAGACCCATTCTATTCTATAGAGAGTCACTAGACCAACTGCACGGCACCTACCAACCACGCCATCGGAGAGAACTACACGAATAGAAGACTCTGGAGGGCGTCTTCTAAGACAAAAGAAAATCCCCTTCAGGGACAGAATGGGGGGTGGGCACAGGAGCTCAGTGCTACAATCCTCCCCTTCCGTACCTTGTACAGTTGTCCCCAGGTAGTCGCCATGTCTCTCTTTATTGATCACATGTTGAAATATCTTTCCAGTGGTGATGTTGTTGTCTCTATAAAGATTAATATCCAGGAACCTTTCATAATTTCCCAGGTCTAAATCAACTTCTCCGCCATCATTTAAGACAAACACTTCACCTAGAATAAACAGGAAGTGTCAAATTGAGCACATGCAAAAATATTGAAGTGACATATGCTTTTGGTGTGTTGTTTTGTTGTCTATATTTTTCTTATCTTCCGGTACCTATTCTCTGTTGTTTTGTAAGATGTATTTGTTATAATTTTATTGTGCTACCTATTTTTTGTGATGTTTTGTTATCTATATTTTCTGTTATATTTTGTTACCCATATTTTTTAATGCTTTGCTGTATATTTTTGTTAAGTGTATTATTTAGGTTATCTTTTGTTATACATTCTCTGTTGTCTTGTTATATATGTTTGAGTTATGTTTTGCTACCTCTTTTATTGTGGTGCTTTGTTATCCTTATTTTTGTTATATATTTTTGGTGATATTTTGTTATATATTTTGGTCATGTTATGCTTTGTTATCTATTTTGTGTTATCATATTTTGTTATCTATTTTTGTGATTTTTATCTATATTTTTATAATACTTTATTATATGTTTGCTGTCTTATTATCTATATTTTGTCATAGTTTGTTATATATTTTTGTTATGTTGTAATGTGTACATTTGAGTTGTTATATTGTCTTATCTACGTTCTTTGTGATTTTCTAACCTATAAAGTTTGTTGCAATATATTTTTTTTTGTTATGTTTCATCATGTATTTCTGTTATGATCTGTTATCTATATTGTTTGTCATGTTTTGATATATTTTGTGATGTTTTTTTGTTATGTAAAATATTTGTATTGCACTGTTTTGTTACTGATATTTTTGTTAGACATATTTTTCCATTATATTTCATACCTTACTTTTTGTTATGTTTTATTACCCATATTTTTACCACAATTTACAAAAAGGTTAAGAACCCATTCTCAAAAGGTACCACACAAATGATCTTCTCCCCCAGTTTCCCAAAGGTGTTGACTAATGTGGAGTGTCATCAGTCATTTGCTCAATGACCATGAAAGGACTCACCTATCTATAGGCACTCTGCCCTAAAGAAACTTCCCCCCAAAGCAAAACAGAACAGCAATGTACCCTTCACGGCCTACCATGCTCAGGAGAAAACGTGCCAGCATCGATGTTAATGTAGGGATCGATTTTGATGGCAGTAACACGGAGTCCACATGACTTGAGAATGGTCCCAATACTGCTGGCAACGATCCCTCTCCCAACGCCTGAGATGACCCCACCGGTGACCAGGATGTACTTCATTGGCAGGGAACTGGCTGGGCGCCAACACCCAGATAGCTGAAAGGCAAGGGAAGTTTAAGAGCGACATTTCCTCAAACTAGGAGCTCCAGTGAGGCTATTGGGTAGGCATTGGACTGCTCATCCCAAGGTGAGCCGTTCAAAGCCACCAGTCACTCAGCAGGAGAAAGACCAGGCTTTCCACTCCTGTAAAGAGTTCCAGTCTCGGGAACCCACAGGGACAATGCTAACCTCTCCTATAGAGTCGGGCGCAGTGAGTTCAGTTTGGGTTTTCTCAGAGGCTGAATGTGGGTGGTTTTATTCAATATTATGATTATTATTATTATTAGAGTAATGTTAGTTTTTAGTAATGCTGGTGGCGTAGTGGTTACACGCTGCACTGCAATCCACTTGGCTGGCAGTTCGAATCCACCAGCAGACTGGGATTTCTACCCTCATTAGCAGTTACAGTCCCGGAAACCCACAGGAAAAGTTCTACCCTGTCCTATAGGGTCACTATAAGTCGACATCAACTCTGTGGCAGTGGGCGGGAAAGGAAAGCAGAGTTTTTCTCTAGAAACAAAATACTTGCAACTCTAGACACAGACTCCTCTGGGCTCTGCATCTTGTCAGTAGATAGAAGGGAATACTTTCGACAAGCCAAGAGGTTGGCTTTTTCGCCCTGGTTCTCTACTTACTTCAACCGTGTGGGGCAGCCATCATCATCTGAATCCACATTTAATGCAGAAAGGGGCGGGCGGGCGGATCTGCTCCAGCTTGGCTTACCCTTTCAAAGCCTGTCTCTTCCCCTGTACCATGGAGTGCAAATGACCAGCCTCACGGGAGGTTGCAAGGACTAGGAATCACAACCAAAGAAGACCACGGCCCTGCAGGCGCTTCTGACTCCCTGCTGCCCTAGAACCAGAGCAGAACTGCCCCTGACCCAGAGGGTTTCCAACACTGTCATGTTCACAGAAACCAACTGCCTCATCTTGCTCTGGTGGAGCAGCTGGTGGGTTCAAGCCGCCAACCTTTGGGTTAGCAGGCTCGGCTTTAACCACTGTGCCACCGGGGTTCCTTCAGCAATGGATCAGGCTGAGGTGAATGAACCCCGACCAACTGGCCACGTCTGGCCCACTATATGTTTTTGTATGGTCTCTGAGCTAAGAAAGTGTTCTACTTTTTTCCTTCTTCTTTTGATTGTGAAGTGACGGGAGATGGACAGAGGCAACCGTCATCTTTACAGTAACATCCACGTACATTTGGTTTCCATCTCCTCAAGGCACCAGCGGTTAGCCCAGCACTGCCAGCCTGGGTTTCCCACCTCCCTCGTGCTGTTCTAAGGCTCCTGGATTTTGTCCTGCGGCTAATGCCGCCCTCTTGATCTCAACTGAGTGATGATTCTAAGGTGTGTGTGCCTCCTTAGAGGGACTGTCCCCCTTAGAGACTTGTCTATTGTGGGTGGGGGAAGCTCTGGCAGCATAGTGGTTACCAGGTGGGCTGTTAACCACCAGGTCAGCAGTTCGAAACCCCTAGCTGCTCTGTAGGAGAAAGATGGGCTTTCTACTCCCATACAGAGTTACGGTCTCAGAAACTCCCAGGGTCAGTTCTACCCTGTCCTATAGGGTCACCATGAGTCGGCATCGACTCCATGGCAGTGAGCTTGAAGATTGCGTGAAGTTGAGTTTGGTTCCAGACCTGAAAGGTGATGAAGGGCCATAGTCTCGGAGGTCCCACCTGTTTCTAGCTGACCAGTAAGCCTGATCTCGTTCATGATCTTGAGTTCTGTTCCACAGTTTCCTCCCACTGTCTCCAGGGCCGTAGGTAGTGATAGCCAGGCATGTTTTCATGTTTTAACATTTTTATGTGTTTGAAGGGGATATATATATATACAGGCATGTTTTCATGTTTTAACATTTTTATGTGTTTGAAGGGGAGATATATATACTCCAAGACTGTAAATCTTTATGGGAGTAGAAAGCCTCATCGTTCTCCCTCACAGGGGCTTGTGTTTTATGGGGGGATATATATATATATATATATATATATATATACACATACATATATATATATATATATACAGGCATGTTTTCATGTTTTAACATTTTTATGTGTTTGAAGGGGATATATATAATCTCCAAGACTGTAAATCTTTATGGGAGTAGAAAGCCTCATCGTTCTCCCTCACAGGGGCTTGTGGTTTCAGAACTATGGGCCTTGCAGTTAGCAGTCCAACCAGTAACCTAACCCACTGTGCCACCTGCGCTCCAGAGAGGCACATAAAGTCACTCTAGGACAGGGTAGAGCTGCCCTGTGAATTCCCAGACGCTGTAACTTTTTACACCTTTAACTATGAACACCGTTCTGGAGCCCTAGTGGCACTGTAGAGTAAGCATTAGACTGATAACCTGCAAGCCCCCTGGTTCAAACACATCAGTTGCTCCACGGGAGAAAAACGAGGCCATCTGCTGCTCCCATTAAGATTTGCAGCCTCAGAAACCCTCTGTCAGATTGCTATGAGTTGGAATTGACTTTCTGGCTGGGGTTTGATTTTTTTGGTATTAGCATCACGATGCCTTGTGATGGCCCTGGGCAAATTCTTCAGCTTTCCTCTCCCTCTGTGTTCTATACCTGCTCAAGTTGCCGTTCTGACCTCCTGAGCTGCTCTGAGATTTCCAAAACAGGCACACGGGCTAAATAAAGCTATTGCCATTGCTTTCAGAGCAATCTACTCAGTCAATCAGCTCTCAAATGTTTCCTGAACATCTATGAGAACTAAAGGCCCCCAGGAGTGGAAACGGTTTGCTCTCTGCTACTAACCAAAAGGTTGGTGGAAGAAAGGCCTGGCCATGCTTCCATACACACCACAGCCAAGAAAACCCTATGGAGCAGGATTTTATTAGTGCCTGACATGTTCCCAGGTCCTGGGTGGGAATGCAAAAAAAAAAAACAAAACAAAACCAAAACATAACCCAGACCTCATGGACATGGCATTTCTCATGGGATTAAAGGGAAAGGGACGGCTGCTCTAATTGAATCTTATTCTGGGACTGCCACACTGTTAAAATGAAAATGACTTCTCCTTGCCCAAAGTCAGCAAAATTGAAAACAGGTCAAGAAAATGGCAGTACACTCACATGAAGTCACAGGGTGCAACCATCCAAAAATCTAAGCATTTTTCATTTTGAAAACTCAAGATAGATGCAACAAAATCCACATGGAAGAAGCACACCAGCCTGTGTGATCACGAGATATCAAAGGGATCAGGTATCAGACATCAAAGAACAAAATATCGTATCATTGTGAATGAGGGGGAGAGCAGAGTGGGGACCCAAAGCCCGTCTCTAGGCAACTGGACATCTCCTTACGGAAGGGTCGGGTCGTGGGGAGGAGACGAGCCAGTCAGGGTGCAGTGTAGCAACGATGAGACATACAACTTTCCTCTAGTTCTTAAATGCTTCCCCACTATCATGATCCCAATTCTACCTTACAAATCTGGCTAGACCAGAGGATGTACACTGGTACATATAGGAACTGGAAACACAGGGAATCCAGGAAGAATGATCCCTTCAGGACCAGTGGTGAGAGTGACAATACTGGGAGGGTGGAGGGAGAGTGGGATGGAAAGGGGGAACTGATTACAAGGATCTACATATAACCTCCTCCCTGGGGGACGGACAACAGAAAAGTGGATGAAGGGAGACGTCGGACAGTGCAAGATATGACAAAAAATAATTTATAAATTATCAAGGGTTCATGAGGGAGGGGTAATCGGCGAGGGGGGGAAATGAGGAGCTGATACCAGGGGTTTAAGGGGAGAGCAAATGTTTTGAGAATGATGAGGGCAACGAATGTACAAATGTGCTTAACCCAATGGATGTTTGTATGGATTGTGATAAGAGTTGTATGAGGCCCCAATAAAATGATTTTTAAAAATCATAATATAAAATTGACTATAGTATCACCACTCTCTTAACTATGTTTAACTACGGCTGGTTGAAAAGACACCAAGGTGTTCAATTTTAATATATTTAGGTGGGTGGGCTGTAGGCAAGGATTCATTTATTTTTCACACACACCAGATGTCACTTCTTGACAAGCCAACTTCGACCTCTATCCTCACTGCCCCCTGTGAGTTTTTGACACTGACTTTTTACGGGAGTAAAAGGCCCGTCTCTCTTTCGGAGCAACTGGTGGTTTCAAACTGCTGACCTTGCAGATAGCAGTGGGATGCGTAACCCCTACACCGCCAGCAAACCACTGAATGTGAAACAAAGTTTAAAACGTTCCCAGAGAAGCCTGGCTGTGTTAGCTCACTGCCTTGCAAAATGAGGATAAATTCCCCCTGCAAAGACGGAAGCTTCTCGCTGGTTTTTAATAACAGTGAGCAGTGCCAGTTGTTTATAAAACAGGCGCGAGTAGAGCCAATAAAAATGCATGTGCTGCATGTGGGATTTTCTATCTCCAAGGAGCCACATTAAGCTGCCAAGAAACAGGTCAAGCTCATTGTAATACTGTCAGCTCTTTAACCCAATGTGTTCAGAATCATCTTATTAGCATGTCATGAAAAAGCTCATTCATGAGATGTTTAACCTTCTTTCGCATCAAGTCTTCAGACAGGCCACGCTCCCAGAGCGCCCAGGCCGCAGGTGACATGGTGACCACACAATGGCCAGAGCAGACCGAGAGTAGCTATACCCAAACTCCCTGCCAACCCTATAGGACAGGGTAGAACTGCCCCTGGAGTTTCGTCTTTCTCCCACGAAGAGGCTGTTGGTGTCCAACTTCTAACTTAACAGTTAGGAGCCCCATGCATAACCACATGAGCACTATGCCCCCAGGGCTCCTATATGTGCCCTGGGACACCAAGAAATGCCTTCTAGACGATGGCCACTTTAAAAAGTACTTTTGATCAAATACAAAAGGGTACCTACAGAACAATCCCATTTTCATGAAAGTCTAGAGCAGGCCAAACCACAGCTATGACAGAAATCACAATTGTGGGTGGGGCCGAGCAAGGGATTGACTGCGAAGGGGCGCCAGGGAACTTTCTGGACGAATGGAAACATTCCATGTCCGCGCTCGGGAAGCGAGACACACAGCGGTGGAATTTGTTGGGCCTCATTGGTCTGCCCACTGAAAATGGGTGCATTTTTACTGCAGACAAATTAGACATCCGTTCTGAAAGCATGATGTCCCCCATCATGGTAGTAGTGGGGCAGCTGGGCGCGGTGCCGGAGAGCCGGGACTGTGGTGGCCATGGCGCCTCCTGGTCCAGGGGAGGGGAGGGCCC